TTTTTGGGGGGGGGGGGGTATTTATAGCCTTTGGAAATTGTTACTGAAGATAAGAAGTTGAAACAACTGGTAACCAACAACTCCTTTGGGCGAGACAGTTTTTACTGTCTTGGCCAAAGGGGTAGTTCCAGTCAGTTTTGTAACTGCAGCCCAATCTGTTAAATACCGTGATTTTTGGGGATTGTGGGTTGATTTTCAATTTGTAACGGCCTCTCCGTGTTTATGGATGTTGCCAAGCAGTTATGGAGTTGTGTGGACCCCATAAAAGTCACGGAACCGTTAGAATACCTGAATAACTGTCTCACAATGGGCGAGACATCTTATGCTATCTCTGTTGTATGGATGAGCTTTGGCTGATGGAAAAGAGTGTTCGAGGTGGAAGACTTTTTTCTTAAGCTGTAACTCTGTCATAACTGTTTCAAGAGTGGGTCTAAGTCACCGGGATGATTTGGCTGCGCTGCGGACAGATTCAAACTCTGGTCGGAGCTTCATTATGTACTGAATAGACGTTTCCATCTCTGTTGTTGTGATGAATGGTCCGATAAGTCGGGTCAGTAAGGGTTTTTTCAAGGGCTACGAGTTGTTCCCAGAGGTCAAAGATGTGGGTATAGAACTCGTGAATTGAGCGATCACCCTGTGTAACCATGGATGTCTCCTGGTATAGTTGAAACTCTCGAGCGTTATTTGACTGTGTGTAAAGGCACTGGAGGTATGCCTAGAGGGATATGACAGTGTCGTGCGAGCTAGAGTCGAATGGGGGGTGAGACGGATTATACGATTACGATGATGGCACGATCTTTAGCAAGAGTCCAAGTCACAAGGGTAGACTCATAAGAGGAGAGGGCAGTCGTATCCTGAGTGAGATCACTGGTAGGAAGTGGTTAAGTTAGAGGTTTTGAGGTGTCATGCCCCGGGCTCACGGGCCCGTTGGCACGTGCAAGCCATGGGATCCACCGAGAGCAACTCGATGTTGGCTAAAGTCTACTGCCAAAATACTAGCACTAGCTGTTCTTAGGTTTTGGGCTTCTCTATTTAAGCCACTAACATTTCTTCACACTAGTCCATGTGGGACTAAAGTTGGGGTGTCATAATCACCCCACCTTACAAAGACGATATCCTCGTCGTCATGACATGATAATTGGCACATCCCAGTATCACTGCCAGACGATGTGGACTCTAGAGGTGGCTCCTACAGGCTCTAGAGGTGGCTCCCACCACATCCACACAATGTAGCACTTAACCTTGTATATAACTTAGCTCCACACTTTTGACTGGCAATTGCTCTGATACCATTTTTCATGCCCCAAGCTCACGGGCTCCTTTGGCACGTGTAAGCCGTGGGATCTACCGAGAGAAACTCGATGTTGGCTAAAGTTCACTGTTAAAATCCTGGCACTAGTTGTTCTTGGGCCTTGGACTTCTCTATTTAAGACACTAACATTTTTTCACACTAGTCCATGTGAGAGTAAAGTAGGGGTGTCACATGAGGTGCCATCAATGTGTCTCCAAAGCCCACGACTACGAGGGATGACTCGTAGGGAGTAGGACCAGAGGCGGTAGTTATCATAGTCGAGTTTTACATCAATGGATTGTTGATGAAAGTGCATTTTTGGCATCATCATAACAACTTATCGCTTAAGATCTAAGGAGATCTAATTGACAAAGCTAAGGATCTATGAAGATCTAGTTTGTAGGCCAAATGAATGACGCAAGATCTGGTTGATATGTCAAAAGATTAACATAAGATATACGAAGATCTGGTTGATAAGCCAAATGATCGGCGTAAGATCTATGAAGATCTGGTTGGTACGCCAAATGATTAGCACCAGATCTATGAAGATCTGGTTCATGAGCCAAGTGATTGACGTAAGATCTATGAAGATTTGATGCACGTGGTGCGGTTTTGGCTCTATTAGTCAAGCTTTGGTGCAGATTGGTGTAGGCTGTCTAAAAATCACAATAGATAGCTGATCCCCATCAAACACCGATGATGGTAGTTACAATCTGACGACTTCCAGAAGGCTATAATTTGAAGACTTTCACGTAGATCGCTGAAGGTTACAATCTGACGACCTTCACGACAACCGATGAGAGCTCTAGTTTAACAGCCTTCACAATCAACATCGAGAGTTACAATCTGACGACTCTTGCATATCAAAGAGCTAAAGTAAAGATTACAAAATGACGATCTTTGCAAAACTTCGATAGAAAGAGACTATAAATCGACGGTCTCTTCAAATCAAGATGTGGAAGTCCTCCCCGCGTACCAGCATCAAGATGCGCCGCGTTCATAGCCACAAACACAGCTCAAATGCAGCTCCAAAAGTTGCAAACACAGCTCCAAAAGCTGCAAACGCAGCTCAGATTCGGCCGCCAA